ATTTCTTAGAAACACTGAGGGGTCCCCGGACAAAAGCTGCTAGAAACATCTTGACTGGGTCTGGGTTCCCCTTTACACTGAGAGGCGGCTGTGGTATCTAAGGCATATAAAACATTTTCTCAAAGATACTGAAAAAAGGGTACCAAATATACACAACACCAAAATACGAGGAAACGAAAATTAATTAAAGAGAGTTAAGACAATAAGTATACATAGGTTTTCTTGACAATTGTGGATATGTTTATGTTGTCCGTGAAGCATTTATTTACTACGTACGCTACATTGTAATGTAGCGTACGTAGTACGCTACATTACAATTGTAGGATTGAGTTTGTGCGAGACCGAGGGAGTACACATATGTCTGCACGGCATGTATTTATATTACTTTCATGCTTTTCAAATTCAGAAATAAAATATAAAAAAGATCTGCAAATGCTAGCGATAAGGAGCCAATGGTATGCACCGAGAAACTGACTGAGAGAGGGAGACGAGAGCGCGACATGACGTCAGAACGTCGAACTCTGCTTGGAAGAATTCGTGGGTAGACCTAAAGCTGGCTGTCTTTGTTTCCAATGCACTCGTCGAACGTGTCCGAATAGGAAAGCCAAACGCCGGACGTCGGCGTTCCGTGTTCTAACGCGCGTTCCGAGTGCAGTGGAGGCAAAGACAGCTAGCTTCACGCCTATAGGCCCGTAGCTCTCAAGTTTTGAGCAGCGCTCCAGGCGAGCAAAATAGAATATGTGGCTCGCGTTTCGAACGTGCGTCAATACGCTTCACCACTACAGTTTTTTATACTCCGTTCTATATATTGCCGCGCGCCAAGTAGGTAGCGCGGCCGTAGCCTAACGGTTATCGCGCTTGCCTCCCACGCGAAGGGCCATGGTTCGATTGCTGGGAGCGACGTGTGTTTTGTTTATCCCTGCATTGTAGTGTTCTGGCAAATTCGAGAGTCCTGGTGCTTGTTCGAGGTGCGAATGTTCTACGCGTCAAACTTTCCACGCCGATTATTTCAGAAGCCCACGCATGTACATAAGGGGCTCCGCCTGGCAAGCCGAGTCAGTTTCGCCCCAGCGTTCGACTCCGCTACTACGCCGACTTCGACGCCCGCGACGCTCTGTTGTTATCTTTTGTACCCTTTTATTTTTGGCACAAGTTCGCCACATGAAACGTTTATTTCTTCCTTTTTTATTTCCTGTTTTTTTGGTCACCACCCGTGACAATATTACAAGTGCCAGTGTAGCAGAGGCTACAAGAGCGAGCTCCGAGCTCTTAGTGCCCCTGCCAAGCACGTGCGCTTGTGCAGTGCGAGCATCGTTCAGGGGAACATGCTTTAGCAAGTATAGCTCCGGCTTCGCTATCAAGTAAAGTGAAACATACCGGCTCACGGAAGCTATGAAAAAGAGCAATAAGCTTAAAGAAATATTTAATGGGACGCTGAGGCCGCAAGCTCCATATTTTTTTCTTTTATTTTAGTTCTTTTTTGGACGTTTGTTATCGCGCGTCTACAGATGCTGACAGATGCTTGCATTCGAACGTGGTGCGTGCAAAATCGAACGTTACAGCGCCGCCTAAATGGTGCTGCCAGCATAACATGGTCGCGTCTTGCGGACGCGCTCGCGCCCCCTTCCCGAGGGCAACGGGTCTATACTCATTTCACCCTTAAACTGAGACTAGTAGCTGCGCCTTCAGCGGGAGCGTTCTGAACTTGCTAACAAAAATGCGAACGCTCAGGCACGCGCAACCAATGCACTGCGGAAGCCAGCGAGCTCGCGCTGAAGGCGGAGCTTATAGTCTCAGCTTAAAGGTGAACGGAGTATACCCTCTGATCATTCACCCTAGATCTCCTCTCTTCCTCTCCCTCACTTTTTTGGCGCATTGAGTACACGATATTGCTATATGCGTTCTACGGGAAGTATTTGATATCTAGAAAGTAAAGACTCCGCGTTGTCTGTATAAAAGACACCCGCGACACAAGGTAATTTTTGTTTTTCGCGCGCACTCTTGTGGGAAGAAGTCGCAAAACGAAGAGCTCGCGCAATTAGCTTTGCCAGCGTTAGAGCACTCTGGAAGTTACTTCAGCGTTGACTGCGCCACACAAAATAGTTTATGCCGTGACGTGCAAATGGCAGCCGTAGTTCCGCCCTCGCTCCGATTATGAAACTTAAATTCCACAGGGAGAAAAACGGGGAAGAGGCCTGAAACGTCAGTGGATTGAACCGCATTCGTGTACGTTAGGAGCGGTATGTAATTGTGTTTCTCAAAAAAGTCTTGTTAAGCGAGAATGCAAGAAATTAACGGGAAAGGCTTACATCTGCTAAGCGGAATCGGCTAGAACGTCAGGTACTTCTTTCCCCATTGAGCGTGTGATGTGACCATAAATTATTTATTGCGGCTATTTTAACCACCGGGAGGGATAGCCGCATTCGTCAGCAAACAGGCCCTGGGGATCGGATTGTTGACATCGCCAACAATGCGAGCCGAACAACTCTGTCAGCAAGTTCTCGGAAGGAAAGACGGAAAAAAAAAACAAAAAAAAAAAAAACATCCATTTTTATGCATAAAACTACGCGGGTGCAAAGATCTTTGGTCAGTGGGGTTGTGTGTAAAGATATATCTTGGGCCCCATTAAGGCCACTCAGCAGGTGTAAAATGAGAAACATTCCTGCCCAATATAGTCGCTCGGCCCCATTCAGGTGACACTGAAAACTCAAAGATGCACGTGTGTGCGTGCGAGGGATAATGATGCAAAGCGGTCGCTTCGTGAAGCCGCTTTGATAGTTAAGAAAAATTAGTGTACATTGTTTTGTACAGGTGTTGTGTGAATACTGGTTCTACAAAAATTTGATACATCATATTGAAGTTGATGAAAGATTTAAAATAAGAAAGAAGCAGGGCCCTTGACGTGAAATAACGTCGGATAAAACAGAGAGCACGGTAAAGAAGAAGAAAAAAAAAACATCCAGCGGAGGGGAAAAAAAAAGCATTTTAATCAAATCGTGATGGCTTTCGATGTTGCCAAGGGGGCACATCCGGAGAAACTCTTGGAACTCCTCCATCTCTCCGTACCACCGGATATTGCGTTCCACGCCGTACCTTTTCTCCCAAGCGACTCAACGGAGCAGTGACTGACAGAAGGAAGCTGGCACGGAGTGGCGCCCTTAGCCGTCCAGCGAGTGCGCCGCAAACGCCGGGACGATGCACCACATTCTACTCTCAGGTTGCTGCTAAAAACAAGCATACACTTCTTCCGTTGAATCGCGGCTACCGCGTTCGACTGTAATCTCCGGCATGTCTGCGTCGTTTGAAGTGTTTGAAAGGAACCATTGGTGAACTCTGTATATTGCGATCGATTCCCGGGCAGCATCAAACTTTGACCGTTAAGAGAGCAGAAGCTATTAGAACCTTTTGTGCGGAAGGAGAAAGATGGACATTAAGCGCCACACACTGCTGGGGTTAGTTGTATGTACTGCAAATAATCTTTGGACAGGCTCCCCCAACCCGAGCCAAACTCCTGTAGTATATTGCGCGACGCAGTTGGCGCGAACATGACATCGCGCTTTTCGCAGAATGTTGGGCCGTGGTATATAAGACTACGATGCTTTACCAGCTAAGATTGCGTCTAGGATTTCTACAGTCCACCAGATGTGTAGTTTGGCGACAGTCTTGCAGTTGTAAAATCAGAAGAAAAAAAACTATGCGGCAATTTTTTTCCTTTTTAAGATTTACAACTTCGCATAAGGGCAACAGCTTGAAACGCGCTAACTCTAGGCACGTTTCCATTGTTTACAAAAATCACAGTCCACACGTGCTAAATCACAGTCCAGCCAGCGCTCTATCGGTATATACGTTTACCAGTGGGATACCGGCTTAACGCGAGCCGCGTTCCGAGGCGAGGCGGGCCCTCTTCCAGCCAGGACGTTCGCTGCCTGTCGTACAATGTTGCCAGGCGTCTTTTGCTGAAGCATGCACTACTGAGCAAAGAAAGAATTGAAAAAAAAATGAAATATACACATGTTGCCTTCAACCACGAAAGAGCGCGAACTGTTAAGTAAAATACCTAAACCCGTAAAAAATCAAAAACTATGAAAAATATCTAAAGCGCTTGTCAAAATGCGCCAGAAGCCGAATGGCCATTGCATCAATGATGGTTGCGCTCGCGGCAGCTCTGGCTTCCACGACGTGCTAGAACAGAGGCTGCGATCATTATAAAGCCAGCTCTAAACCTTAAAGATGTCCCGTCCTACAATATTTGATGCTACAATTCTTTGTGGATACCTCCTTCTGCGTTCCGAAAGAGTAAGTTTATCGCTAACGCTGGCCGTCGGCGACACACCAGACGCCGCCATTTTGTCATCGCGCACCTCAATGACGTGACCCTGGCGCGCCCCAGCATAGCGGAAACGTTACGCGGCGTCAGCATCGCTCAAAATGGCAGCGCACAGGGGCCTTTATTGCAAACGTGTATAGACATAATGCTATATTACCCAAGCATCAAGGAGAATGCAGGGATTTGTGTTTGACGCGCTGCACGTACTGACCTCAACAGTAGGAAATTTTCTAAAGTAAATCCCTAAAACAAATGGTATCTTGGACGCGCGTTTGTCAACGCTTTGTTTTGGTTATTTACTTCGAATCTTTTATACGGGAAAGGCGTGAGCGTCGGGCGCGGGGAACACCAATCCCTGCATCCTCCTGGATGCTTGGGTATTATAGCAATAGGTCTATTGCATCCAGCCAGAAAGTTCGCGTGCATAACACAGAAACACAGCAACGAACCTGCCCTCATACGTTTTCATGGAAAAATGCACACTCCGCGTAAATCATTTTGTGCTGCGTTCTCAAGGCTAGTGTAGATTCCGCAGTGCTCGAACCCTGTCAAATGTACCCTCGCGAGCGCGTGCGAATCCAAAGGAAGTCACGGGCACGTGTTCTCGCAGCAGCGCGCTTTACAATAATCACAGTCAACTTAACGCCCTTTCTTTGTTCTGTTGCAGTGCCCGGTCGGGCTCCCCGCATCACCGAGCACCCGGGCGACGTGGTGGTGCGCAAGCACGAACCGGTGACGCTGCGCTGCCGGGCGGACGCCGAGCCCCCGGCGCGCCTGTCCTGGTTCCACGAGGGCCGCCCGGTGCGCAACTCGGCCACGCGCATGGTGCTGCCGGAGGGACAGCTTTTCTTCCTGCACGTCCAGCACAGCCGCAGGGACCAGGACACTGGCATCTACTGGTGTACGGCAACCAACCAGCTCGGGGAGGCGCGCTCTCGCAATGCGTCCGTCGAGCTCGCAGGTAGGCTGCACCGTTCATTACGCGGAACCTATACCAGGTGTGCTCAAAAGGTTTCGGGACTAGTTTTGTGGCGTATAAAGATAAGGAGGCATGATGATGCGCCCGCAGCTGTCGACGGCAGGGACCTTCATGTGTCATTATGCTCATGGCTGTCGTTCTGTGAACATTTGGTGTATATTGCCATTATACACACACGCGCTCTTGCTGGAGTGGTGGAATACCTCAACCATCATTTTCTGTCCAATCGTTTCATTTTGTCTCTCGAAGTGCGTAAAAAATCGGTGTGATTCAGCTTCAGCCCGTAGCCTTGGCTAATGCTTAGACTCCATTTTACCGCATAAGTCACAGCCTAAGTGGGCGAGCGCGTAACGCGCCGGCCCACACACTGCCACAAAGAATGCTTCACCCTGAGGCAGAGAGATATGTAGGAGCATAGCCTATGGTAGGAAGCAGCCTACACTCTAAGCCCGGTCCCACTTAGTAAGAGGGACATTTCTTCGATTTTTTCCCACTTAACTTTAAGGGGGGCGACAGACCTCTTAATATTACATGGAGATGCTCCCTCTTAATTAAGTGAGACACCACCCCTCTTAAAGTAAGCGAGGCGGCGTCTCCCTTAAATTTGAGGTCAGAGTCCCTTAATTAAGAGGGACAGTTTTTAGATATTTTCTTCCTTAAATTCGGAGGGACCGTGGCCCGCTTAAAATGCAGGGGCATAGTCCCCCTTAAGTCGGGGTCACGCTGCTTATACTTCATACAAAATACATTCTGCAGACATGTTCCGAAACGAGTCGCCTCGACATCCGCGCTTCGTACGCCACGAGGTAACCAATCAAGAGGTTACTTTCTCACGTGGCATACAAAGCACGGATGTCGCGGTGACTCGCATTGGAACATATCTGCAGAATGTATTTTGTATGATGTATAAGCAGCGTGACCCCGGCTTTAAGTTACCTCTGTTATTGTATCGTACAATTTCTGCTCCTTCGTGTTTTGAGTGTCAGGTGACATGCTGCACTGCACTTCTCGCACTTTTGCTGATATAGTTTAACCAAAGTCATTCTGTGCTGCGTAGCAGAATTGAAATTTGATCTGTATATCTTGTTTGATAAACGGAATCAATGTGTTAAAGAAAACAGTAACAATCTTTAAGAGTAAACACTGTTTTATTTGCCATGACACAAGAAAATATTTTGATATGTCTTCATCAAAATAATAATTCTATAACGATGTTCTGGTAGCTTTTACGAATAAAAAAAGACTTAGAACGACGCCAGAAATCGGCGTTTCTTGGAAGCTATCACACAAAAAATTTCGTGCTGCAGAGTGACTCATTTTGTCTATCATAAACAACAACAATACAATCGTGCTGGAAAAAAAAAAACTTTTTTTAGCGGATAACACAAAAAGAAAAGTACATTCTAAAAAAAAGCCCGTGCGTCTACTTTCCCGCACAACACTTGGAAAGACAATCACCATAACTCTCGGAGGCAGCTCAGCGAATGTAGATGCCGAAACATATGATTATACCAAAAAAATGAGTTGCGACATTAAGCACAACAAGCGTGATGTTTTGCATTGGTTAATGTCACAACTCGGACTGGCTTTTTTGGTCTAATCTTATGTTTCGGCATCGTGATTCGCTGAGCTGCTTCCGTGAGTTACGGTGATTGACTTTCCAAGTGCTGGCTCGGGAAAGTAGATTCCTGTGCTTTTTTTTTTAGAGCGTAGTTACCCACTTCATAGCATTAAAAACTAATTATTCGGCGTCTCTTGCCATCAGCAGAAGCTCAAAATTTCTGTTGTTTTTGAACGGCCAGAAGCGATTTTATGAGCTTCTCCGACATAAACTGAATCGAAACACTTTATTTTCAACCAGCAGACCCCAGAGGAGTCCAAGGGTTTGTCCACATGCCACGGGGTAGGAAAGTCCCGTTATGTAATATACCCATAAGCACATGACTAGTGCCCCCTCCATAGTCGTGCTAGCGGTGAGTTTCACTGACCAGTTCCCAGAAACGATCCCTTTCTCCGAACCGAAGAAAGTCTTGGGTCTTGGAACTTTTTCGTCAGGGGTAAAATCGTCCTGCAAACAACAATTCTTAAAAAAAAAAAAAAAAAAAAAAATTGCGTCAGCTTTAAACTTAGATTTCTATTTTTGCATTCGCTTTTTCACATACCATAGGTGATGAAAGAACTTCTGGCCAATCGAGACCGGAGGATGGTCTTAATGTTCAGGAATGTTGTTGGGTTGTCTCCGCAGAAGGCCTCTTTTACCTCCTCCAGGTTTCCCAGCATGGTGACGATCGTGTTATGGAACCGAAGTTGTGCATCCACCTTTAGCTGAATGAAAGACCATATTGTTTTCCTTTAGATACAGAGGGTGGGAATTAGAAAAAAGGTAATGAAGCGCTTTCACCTGTTATCAAGCAGGCGATAGGAAACAAACGCGAAAATAAAGTGCAAACAGTTCAAAAATTCGGAACCCAATCTGTATGCGATGAAATAGCGAGTGACATTAGCTTATGACGCAACTTCTGCTACTATTAATTTTTGGTACGAGAATACACTGCAGTTTTAATTAATTTACGAGAATCAATTGTTTCTGTATTACCAAGACAAAACGAAAACGCATTTAGTAGTAGATGAACTTTAGAAGCCCCATGTGCTTTGGAAAGCGTGGATTGCATTTGCGGCTCGAAGCTGCAGAAGTGATCTAGCGCATGTTTTAGAAAGCAACATAATCAAATAAAAAATTACATTTCTGTAAATATTTCGCCGCAAGCCATTCATTCTTTTTTTTTTTTTTTTTTCAGAAGCAGTGCATATGCCAGCAGAACGTAAATAGGGCCTACCTACATACCGGAATACAAAAAGTTAATAATTACCGAGTTCGTTGTGAACCGTGTGCGGGTGGCCGCAGTAGGCTCACCACTCAGGGTGGTGCGTTCCACCGTGCAGAGGGTCCCGGTAGAGCTCTTTACACGAGCAATCGGAGCGGAACCCCCGCCTGATTCCCTTCATGTCAACGTTCGTTGCCATTGCCTCACCCTGAAAACAAGATTGTTAATAACGGTCAGTCATTTAACGCCCACAGTCAACGCACCAGCCCTAAAGCGCATAAAAAGAAAAGAAAAAAAAAAGCAAACTTCTGTTTATATATTTTTCGCGGATGCACGACACAGAAAAAAAAATATTCAGCCAGCAGCTACAGAAAACAAAGAGCATAATAAACATCATAAATAAAATCTCCAAAAACAAAAACATGGTCGGCGCCAAAAAAAAAAAAAAAAAAATAGCCGGTAGCTGTGCCGGCACGACCGTCAAAATATAACGAACAAAACAGTACGCCAAAGGAATACAAAAAAAAAAAAAATGTACTCCCTGGCCGCCGCTACACCCTTCCCCCAGACGCCGCGACGCCGACGCAACGCGAACACGCGAAGAAAAAAAAACTTTATTTCTTCTTTTTGTTTTGTGCTCGTCCAATCCCCCTGCCCTTTTCACAAACATACACACACATTATGGGTTTTCACTCGCCGCCCACTTGAGAAAAAAATTTTCATAATCACTGCAACGCTAACGATGTCTACAACATAACGTTGCAGTGTAAATTGCTGTAATGAATTGTGAAGGCAAACAAACGCAAAATCGCCAACATTGTTTCTGTCAATCAACGCTCTCGGGCGGTCAACCTCGAGCATTTAGAGTGCACACCGAGAAAGAAATCGGCGAGCCAAGCTTACAAACACTGACTGCCCCAGCTAGGGTGCCTTTATGTTGGCTTTGCCTTAGGGAGGGTGATGCCATCCTTTGTAGTACTCGATGCCGACAGTGTACGCTCACGGATAAAATACCAGGAAATTGCCGGTAAGAAAATGCCGGCGTAGCACTGCCAAAGTTAGCAGCTCGAGCTGGGAGAAGAACGATCGCGCGTTCAAAATTGAAAAGTAGACAAAAGCGTTGGACAGAAAATGGTCTGATATCACCAGCTTAAGACAGACGCGTACACATTGGGACACCCTAACCCGCTAAAAGTGTTTTGTGCGAAAGACAGCCCTGCGGCTCACGGCAGGGCAAACGATTAGCGACGCTTTGTCCTAGCTGAACGAGCAGATCCAGGAAGCGACCGCGTCCGCGGACTACAGCTGAACACTCTCACTCTACATGCAAAGCTCGTGCATCTCACAGCCAGCGTGAAAATATTGATGGCTCGTTATTCCCACCCGCAATGCACCCAAAACAAAAGCGCCAATATGACAGGATTACTCACCCGAAGGAAGTCAAACGAGCAGCATGACGCTTGCGACTCTCCGGCAACGACCGTTTCCAGCTCTCCGTGAATTGGCGCGAAGCCTTAGCACCGTCTGAACTCTTTGCCGTGGATTAGTGCGCCTGCCGCCCTCCTCCTGACCGAACTACATTGGTCCAGTTAAGAGGGACCGGTCCCCTCTTAATATGAAGGGACACACGTGAATCTTTTTGTCTGTCTTTCCTGTTAAGAGGGACTAACGAAACGGTTTCCTTGGTCTCTCTTAATATGTTGGTGTCCCTCTAGATGTTGCTATTTTATTTTTCAATTTCCCTCTTAAAAAGGGCTGTCCCCCTGAAAGCATTGTTGTCCCCTCTAAAATCAGAGGGACAGCGTTTTTTTATGAGGGACCGGTTTTAGAGTGTAATTTGGATCTGCGCTACACGAGGTTTTTGTGTCCACGTACACGGGCAGATCGAAGATTTTAGCGGGAATCGCAAAACAGAGTAAAGAGCGTTATGAGTCAAGTAATCATCATAATATTAATATTGATTGGCTCAGTAGAGCCGCGGCACCGCAAAAAGGCAACAAAAAGCCTGTACCATGGAGGTCCGCGGTGCCGCGTCTTGTGATGGCGATTATGTGACGGTGATAACATACAAGATGGAAGTGAGGGCGGTTATGATATATGTAAAAGTGTCACCTTATCAGCGGTCTTCGCGGGGCAGCCATGGGTTGCTGACTTGTA